AGGTTTTAACATGTCTAAATGGTTTTTTAAAAAAAAAAAAAAAGAAAAAGAAATAATTTTTTTTTTTTAAGACAGAATCTCACTCTGTCACCCCGGCTAGAGTGCAGTGGTGTCATCGCAGCTCATCACAACCTCAAACTCCTAGGCTCAAGCCATCCTCCTGCCCCAGCCTACCGAGTAGCTGGGACTACAGGCACGTGCCACCACACCTGGCTAAATTTTTCTATTTTTGGTAGAGACAGGGTGTCGCTCTTGCTCAGGATGGTGTGAAACTCCTGGCCTCCAGTAATCCTCCTGCCCTGGCCTCCCAGAGTGCTAGGATTACAAGTGTGAGCCACCTCGCCTGTCCAATAATACTTCTTAACACATGAAAATTATGTGCAATTCAAATTTCAGGGTCCTTAAATAAAATTTTATTGGAACACAGCCACACTTAAGTATTGTCTACAGCTGCTTTACACTACAGTGATAGAGTTGAGTGATTTTTTTTCTTTTTCTTTATTAAGGTATAATTGACAAAAATTATATATATTTATGGCATGTGACATGGTATTTTGACATATGTATACACTGCAAAATGATTAAGCTAATTAACATATCCAACACCTACTTATTTTTTTGTGGTGAGAACATTTATGATCTGCTCTCTCTGCAATTTTCAAAAACATAATATTCTATTATTAATCATAGTCAAAATGCAGTAGAATAGAACTTAATCTATTGTTCTTCAGAATAAGTTCCAGAATGTATTCATCCTGTCTAACTGAAACTTTGCACCCTTTGACCAACATCACTCCACCTTCCCATCCCCTCCCTTCTAGCCATCATTCTGAGCTGAGTAATTTTGACAGAGACATTATGGCCCACAAAACTTAAACTACCTATTGTCTGGATCTTTACAGAAAAATTAGCCAACTTCTGCCCTAGATGAATCCGTCATTTGAGATATCTTTCTGCTCATCACCTATCAAAATGTAAAAGTTCCTATTTGCCTCTCATTTCACTCTGAATTTTCGAACAATAAACCTGTCAATATTATTTTATTTTCATTTCTTAACACTCTTCTGGCCACGTTTCTGTTTCCCATCCTGTTTAGATCATTACCTAATTTCAGTGTTTCCACCCAGAACTGTAGCTAAACATCTTAAATGATATTTTCTAATTTATTCTGTTTCTACTTTAAATGCTGGATATGAACCACCATGACCCACGTGGGCTACCTACCACCTACAATCTGAAAAATGCTGAGCAAGTCTTCCCGGTCTACTGTTCTTAGGGTTCGTGTGAAAAATAATGTTTTAATTGCACAAATTGCATCTAATAAGGCAATGAAAAACACAAACCAGTATTTTCATATACTGTCTTACCATAAAGGTACAGGAGTTTATTTATACATCCTTTGTGTTAAATTAAAACCAAGATACCAACTGAAGAATGTTATCATTATTCTTACTGAGCTTAAAGAGATGTTTTAATCCAGACATAATGTTGTTGCAGAGTTCTGAATATCGTTTCAGTGTTTAGGTATGTTTTACCTAAACTTAGAGTCTTATTTATGACTATACAAAATTAACTGTAAGAAGACATGAATGTCAAAAAAAAATGAGAACACAATAAACCTACTCAGGAACTATTTTTGACACATGAAGCTTCAAGATCTTAGCCAAGATAACTCGATGGCAGAAATAGTCATTTATTTACATTATTTTGTTTACAGTGGTTGAACAATCCTAGTCTCCAAGCCTGACCAAGGTTCTTCCAGCCATTCCTATAAAACGAAAGATTATAGTAATCATGGGCCAACAAAAAGCATACCAGGCCTCCTGCACACTGATGTTCAAAACCCAACTGGTCTGAGTTGGTATCAGTGCTGCTTCAAAATGTCTCATTCTCAGTAAATACCTGTAAAATTCTCTATACCAATATCACTGATGCAAAAATCTACAAACTCAGGGATAATAGGGAAGGGTAAAGAGGAAAAAGAGATATGACGAGTACTACAGCTCTCTATTGGCTTTCCCATAGCAGCGCCGCTTTCACGTTGTATCTAAGCAACTTTTTGCCTTTGGGAAATAAAGGTAGCCATAAAATCATCTAGTGTTTAGCAGCTGGGTAGCTAGGTGAGACCACCTGAAATTCCACTTAGCTGCTACAGAGAAAGGAAAAAAAAGTGAAAAACAGAAAGATTAAAAATAGTAGAAAAGACAGCAAGGACACAGAAAGAAACCAGGAAAAAAATGGAAAATGAAAAGGGGAACAAAAAGTACACAATATGGGGATGTGATGAGCGTTCTAAAATATACAAGAGGACTTTATTAAGTCACACTAATTTTAAAGGCACACCAGTCCTATTCTTTATTTAAAAAGTCATCACATCCATTATAAAAAAGCTGAAATTACTGTGTTGTCTTAAAACAACCATATTTCTGTCCATAGAGAACTGGTTAATTAAATGATGATATACCATATTAGGCTGAACCATAGGAAATTTTCCTTATTTGATCAATTTTGACCTACTGACGAAGCAATTTCATATAGCTCAGTCTAACATCATTGAAAAGAATGTGGTAGATACATACACACCATTAGAGAAATGATCTCCATATTATATCTCCAAACAAGACACAAAATGCTTACAGAATGTTCACATTAGCACTTTATTAAGAAATATTCATATATAGATTTTGGATCCATAGTAGATTTTTATAAAGAAATAGATATCCATATATAATAATTTATATATACATACACACACACACATACACATACACTTGTGCATAGAAATTTCTGAAGGCACACAAAGAAAATGTCAACAATGACTGCCTCTTCAAAGTGAGACCAGAGGTCTGGAGTGGGAAGGTTATTTTTCATTGGCTACCCTCCCATCATTCTCTGCTACTGTTTGAATGCTTTATATGCATGTATTACTTTTTCAGTTAAGAAAAAGTCTACTCTGGAAGGCCGAGGTGGGAGGATTGCTTGAGCTCAGGAGCTTGAGACCTGGCTGAGCAAGAGTGAGACCCCATCTCTACCAAAAATAGAAAAAACTAGCCGGGCATGGTGGCACATGCCTGTGGTCCCAGCTACCTGGGAGGCTGAGGCAGGAGGATTGCTTGAGCCCAGGAGTTTGAGGTTGCTGTGAGCTGGGTTGATGCCATGGCACTCTAGCCCAGGCAAGAGAGCGAGACTCTGTCTCAAAAAAAAAAGAAAAAGAAAAAGAAAAAGTCTGGACATTTTTCAAATACCACAATTAAGTTAATGTCTCCTACTAATATTCAAATTATTAAAAACATTAACCAGTACTTACAACAAAGAACACTTCAAATAAGGTAATTACTTAAGTTAGCGGCCTTTTTTTACTCCAAACCTAAACTGCCTACCCAACAGTTTTACGATCCTAAGGATCTTAAAGGAAACTAAAATAAGTACTACCTATGTTTTAATGATAATATTCATATAGATGAAGCATTATATGTAAGTATGTACTACAGGTTTAGCATCCCTAATCTAAAAATCCAAAATCCAAAATGCTCTAAAATCCAATACTTTTTGAGCATCGACGTGATGCCACAGTGGAAAATTCTACACTCTACCTCAGGTGACTAGCCATTGTAAAAAGGCAGTCAGAACTTTGCTTCATGCACAAAATTATTAAAAATATTACATAAAATTCCCTTCAGCCTATGTATATAAGGCGTATATGAAATACAAATGAATTTTGTCTTTCGATTTGGGTCCCATCCCCAAGATATCTCATTATGTATATGCCAATATTCCAAAATCCAAAAAATTCCAGACCCTGTTCTGGTCCCAAGCATTTTGGATAAGGGATATTCAATCTGTACATACACGTAGTCATTCATTTAAGAAATATTTTTGACCTCTATGTGCAACTCATTCTGCTGAAGTCCCTATGTATACCTACGCACAAATGCTTTATAAAGAAAAAGTATATATACACATAAATATGTAAGCATGTGTATATGTGTGTGTATAGGAGTGTGTGTGTGTGCCACACACACCATTCCAGGCTGCTATTCAACCAGGACTGAAGATGCCACTAGTAATCACAACCTGTCAGACCTAGAGGCCCTTTGGTGCATCTTCAGGATATATAAGCAAGAACTGCTAGTGCTGTTTTAAAAATGACTAGGTTTTGAGCTGATCCTACAGCCTACCTCTCCCCCAGGTGCTCCCATCTTACACACCTATGGAGGCGATCAAGAGAGTATTTGTCTTTTTTAATTATCTGGATCATAACTGAAGACTGGAAACGGGTAGATAAATTTAACAGTTCTCTTTCTATAGATTCCCCTGCTGCCCTCACCTTCTTGCCTGAGAATTAGTGCATGTGACGTACTGATGTAACTGATGAAGTTTGCGCCACGCAGGGTGCGGTTCAACAGCGAGCACCATTTACCGCTGACATTGCCCCTCGGCTTCTGCCTGCCAGGTGGCAGCAGGAGGCAGAGGGGCGGGAAAGGTGTCGCCTCCAACCCACCCGCTCACAGTGGGCCAAGAGAGGGGCAGACTGCTGCCCGCGGGACGGGAAGGCAGCACGGCTCACCGCACGCAGCTCTGGCCGGTCGGCCTGCACACGCGCACACTCTACCGAACGGCAGGGAGGGAAAAAATAAAACACTTCTTTTGAGTTCCCTAAGTGGGAACTCGCAACTGCGCTTCAGCTTTTTCCCACGCTCCTGCCGAGCCGCCGGTTCAGGACTCCTCCGCCCCTGCCAGGCAAGCCCACCCGCGCCGCCTCCCGCGCGCCCGCCGGGAATCCCTCGCCTCAGCGCCGCGGTCCAACTCCCGGCGCTCCGCCCCCGGGCCCGCCCGCCCCGCGCCCCCGCCATCCCCGGGATCGTCCGGCGCCCGCCCCGCCCCGCGTACCCACCTTCCTCCGGACCGCCCCGCGCGCGCCCCGCGCCCCAGGCGCCCTCACTCCCGGCCCGCCGCCTCCAGCTCTGCAAGCTCACCCAGGCCCGCCTCCCCCGCCTCACCTTGGTCCGGATCTGCCCCGAGGTGGACACTTTGCGGATCAGTTTCTGGGGTCCCTCTTGCTCCGCTTCGCTGTCGGACGAGTCCTCTCCCGGCCCCGCCGAGGTAGCGGCTGGGGTGACCACGGTGCCTGTCCCGGCGGCCGCTCCTCCAGCGGCGCCCGGAGGGTGGTGCTGGCCGCCGGCCCCGGCCATCCTCTCCGACTCCTGCAGGGACACAGCACCGCCCGGCGGGGGCGGCGGCGGCGGTCAGCGGGTGGGCTCTGCCCGACCGGGGCCCGGAACCCCGTGCCCAGCCGCCGCCGCCGCCGCCATCTTCCGCTCCCCCAGCCACCCCCGCAGGGGGAGGGTCGCCAAGGACCAGACGCCCTCCGGCAGAGGCCCTCCGGCCTCCTTTGCCCGGTTCCCGCCAGCGCGGCGGCCGCGGTGGGGCCCCGGGATCGCGGACCCCAACCCGCCTGGGACCCCTGCGCACCAAGCCTCGGGATGTTTTGGGGTACCTGACCCAGCATACCACCAGCGCGGGTAGAGGGGACTGGGGTAACAGAGGAATTGGGGCAGTCTCCCACCCACTCCCTCTACGGTCTGGGTCCGCAGATGGGCGGGAGGGTGAGGGAGACAGGAACCCTCTGCAGCCAACCCGGCCACAGGTCTGGCCGTGGCGATGCTCCCACCCTGGGTTCTGGGCAGCGGGAGCAAGAACAGCTCCTAGGGAAGAACGGGAACCTGGAGCTTCCTCCCGACACCCTAGTGTGCACCCGCCACCTCCTGGACCCCCGGCTCTCTGCAGTGACTCTTGGGCCTCGCCGCACGGTCCCAGCTAAATAAAAGTCTCCACTGCCCTGAGATGGTCGGTCAGGAGCTGCCCCTTGTCTATCTCTCGACCCCCCCAGCCCCACTCCAAGGACCATACCTCTCCCGCCTCTGCCTGGGGGTTCGGGTCCTTTCAGCTCTCCCGACCGCGGTGTTTAGTTTCTGACCCACCCCCACCCCCATCCGGCGCACACGGAAGAGCAGAGCATTTTCCGGGAGGTTCAGCTCCGCTCTGAGAACTTTTCGTTCAGAAAGAGCGATCCCCCTCGGCTAACAGGAAACTGGGAAGGGCGTGGAGAAAGCGCAGAAACAAGAGAGTACACGCAGCCCAAGACGACAGAATACACAATAAACGTCTAAGCTGAAGCGCTAACCGAGACTGCTTGGAAGAAAACAATGCACTCGAGCCATGTGAACACCAGTACCCGAGACAAAAAACACTGGAAGTCCTGGGAGAGCCACTCCCTAACCCGGACTAGAGCAGGAGGAAATGGGATCAACAGGCTGCAGCCACCGCTCGTAACTCGTCCCCTGCGAGCTGGTTGCGCGGGCACTTGGAAACAGCAGACTCGCACGCTTAACGTCAAAGAACCCCCGCAGGGGTGGGAGGGCGCGGGGAGAAGCTACTAAAATAACAGATCCTTCTTGTCATCGACAGAGAACTCTAAACTGGCGTTAACTATAATTTTAAGTAGGGCAAAAAGTCCCTGCCAGACTGTGTAGTCTCGCCACCTGAATAAAACATTGAGTTTCTTTAGCATGTTCGCACCCATTCTTTTCTTATTTTTTCAGTTGACATGACCTTTCGGGTTCCTCAAAACTAAGATTCTGTACTTTTTTGTTGCTGCAATCTTATTCCGACAAGAAATTTGATTTCTGTGTTAGAGCTGACAGTTCTACGAGGTTTTCAGAAAAAGTATGCAATCCCAATATTGTACATCACATTGTAGACTAAATTCATTAAAATGTGCTAATGTGCTTTTTAGTTTAAATCTTCAAAGACAGGAGATTGTAGCCATGTAATTAATACTAACATAGAGGCTACTTCTCCAGCTTCAGTTGTCTTTTTTAGGAAAGAGTTGGGCAAAATGAACTTTAAGAGCCCTTATGGCTCTATAAATATGTCTACAAATAACATATTGCTGGAAATTCTTAAAAAGAAAAATAACTAATGAAAATAATGGTCTTTATTCCTACCTACCGGTTTGGTCACTGAAAAGTCCAATGGTTTAGTGATGTTAGACAAGGATACCTAGTATAGGGTCTTTTGAAAGAATAAACTTAGTTCAGCCCTCTCTTTAATGTGAAGAAACTAGGGCCCCAAATCACAAACTGGGACCAAAGTCAAAATCATGTGATTACTATTCTAATGTTCTATTTCCATTACCACACTATATAACAAAAGTCCATTTGTCAGTTATCATATATGTATATTACTTTATGTGTTTTATATGACAACATTTTCCAGAATTTAGGCAGAGAGTAATTAAACCAAGGGCATTGTCTAATGACCAGGGTGATTTTGTGATTTTCAGAAGAAGACGAATTACATTTCTCACTCTTTGATTTCAACACTGATGGCTTAAAGACATTTTAAAACAGTTTCATATCCCAGAGCCGGGCAATTAATACCTCAAAGTAAAGGTATTTGTAACTTGCAAAGATTTAACCTCAGAGCCAGCTCTGCTCTTCAAAGACTCCTGAACAAGTTCTAAAACTTGGTTGTGACTTTGAAAGCAAAGCCAGTCTTAGCTTGCTTGTGCTAAATAAACGATTGCTGCTCTACAATGTCCCTAGCACTTTGGAAACTCAGGACGAAAACACAGTGTAGGGAAATGAAGGAATGTCACCTCACTTCCTACAACAGGCAGCTCATGAAAACTCCTCTTTTCTTCAATCATCTACCTGGAGGAAAGATGGTTTCAAGACATCCCTAATTTCAGGTACCTGACCACAGCTTCTTCTCAGGTCTCATCTGTAAGCTAGAAGTTTCTAGAGTGAATATACAATCTGTGCACTGTATACCTACGATGCACCGCACCTTCCTTAAAAATATTACAGCAACATCAAGATCTCTCAATATTTTTGGCTCAAAATGGCAACTGAAACAAATTTCAGATATGTGGTATATTATTTATTTGACTTGTAAGAATTACTTGATCTTTTCCTTGATGTTTTCAGATTCTCAAACCATTTCTTAGATGCATCTTACATATTCCTTTTATTATTGAACTTCGAAATCTCAGTTTGAAAAATAGTGTATCACAAACACACTATTAAAAACTCGAACAAAAGCTGTGTAGACACTGTAGTGAGGATGAATTGGGAATAGGTGAAGCCGCATCTAAATTAGGTTTTTACTTAATAGGGTTTCCTGCCCCATTAAAAAAAAAAAAAAGCCTATTATACTGACGATGCATAAGTCACAGCCAAATTTCATGCTGATACCAACTTTATGAATATTACTGTATTATTATCCATAGAGGTATTTTGAATTATATTCTTACTGATCACCACTCATAACAAAGGGGGTTTAATACCCATTTGCAACATTTAAATCTCATGTTCTATGGTTTTACATTAAATATTACACCAGAAACATACAGAATGCTCTATTTTATATCCTCAAGAACTCAAGTAGGCACTTTAAAAACTGTCATGTTCTAGGACTCACATTCCTAATCAATAAAGAACCATGCAATCAAAGAACATTGCAGGTTGAACAAGTACAGGCCTTAGGAGACCGCTTTCATTAAAACTTTAGAACGATTTCCTCAATACACTATTTGTTACATGTTCGGAATTTAACATTCAAAACTTTACCCTACTAAAATTTCCTTAGTTGTTACCTGAATGAAAAAGATTTGGGGATTGTGATATCAACTGCACAAACATACGGCCATCTTTGTACCCAAGGCAAAAACCTTTCATTATCTAGACCCAATGCATGAATGTTTATAACCTCTCGTTTATATTTTGGCCCCTTTGCCTTTGAAATTCCTTCCTTCTTAATTTTCTATTAGCCCCGGATAGTTTTATCAGAACTAATTAGTATAAAATCATTTGGAAATAAAAACAAATTTTAATAAGTGAAGTGTACTCCAGCCTCCTTCCACTAAGAACTACTTTATGGCCAGATGCGGTGGTTCATGCCTATAATCCTAGCACTTTGGGAGGCTGAGTCCGGAGGACTGTTTGAGGCCAGGAGTTCAAGACCCACCTAAGCAAGAATGAGAACCCATCTCTACAAAAAACAGAAAAATTAGCTGGGCATGGTGGCCTGCGCCTGTAGTCTCAGCTACTTGGGAGGATGAGGCGGGAGGATGGCTTAAGCCCAGCAGTCTGAGGTTGCAGTGAGCTATGATGACACCACTGGACTCTAGCCCCAGCAACAGAGGGAGACCCTGTCTCAAAACAAACAAACAAACAAACAAAAACCCTACTTTGTAAATACTCCCAATTTTTAAAGTTTTGGATAGAATTCTAACTAGCCATTTTCCACTCAGGATAGTATCTATGAGTCAGGATTATTTGGCTAAATATCTTCCTACTCACCCATGCCAACCAACAAAACATTCTGTAATTTATTAGAAATTTAGGTAATGCCTCTATTTCCACTAAGATTTGATTGCATTTCAAAGCTAGTATTAAAGAAAATACACAGAAACTTAAATGCTAACATTTATCTTCTTTAGGCCCAATGCCTAGTCAGAGTAATGATAAAGTTGATAGGTTATTTAAATGCTCCCACTTAACTAAATAACTTCATCTCCAAACACAAAGAATGTCATGAAGTCCAGCAACTGCCTCTCAGCTCCAGATATGGGTGCATTTTAAGGAAGAAGTGCTGTTGTCTTTACCTTCTGTCAGCATCAACCCCTGAGATTGTTTACTCTTCTGTCTAAACAGTCCCATGCAGAATCACACCATCATGTTTTAGGTCCCATCAAAAAATGAGGAGAGTAAATCCTTACATGTATGCTATTGTTCTGTATATACACCCATATGTTATCCCTTAAGAGATAATGCAACAGGATCTGTTCATTATTGAACAGATTTAATACTGAATGTATTAAATATTGTTTAATATCGAACATTCCTTTTCATGAATATACATAGACTGTCTGGAAAGTATCCAGCCATGTAATACGGTCTCATTATATTAACAATGGGTGGATATTTTCATTGTAAAGTATTAAGTTGTCTATATCTGAATTTAAAAAGCAGATTTTAAATAACTACATACTTAATGGAGTTCAAGTCAAAGTAGGTGTTCTTAATCTGAGTCTTTGAGGAGCCACAGATTGGTTTTAAGGAAATCTGTGATTCCCTAGAAATTTTATTAAAATATGTATATGTGTGTGTGTATGCCACATGGGTGC